AACCTTAAAATAATGTTGAGTCTTATTACTATTAGTGATAATTCAATATTATCCTACAAGGGTGACGTGAAATAGCAAATGAGACAAGTAGAGAGTGGAGTAGGTACACTTCACACAAACGTAGCAGCGCGGCATGTGCGTGTGCGCGTTCGTGTACGGACGCACACTTTCGCATCATCTCACGGTGCACTCCGGAATTGAAGCGTTCACTCAGTGTTTAAAAATGACATTAAATAGTAGACATATTTATCGTTGTGTCTATGGTTGTCTGAACAAAAGTACCTCAAATTCGAATTATATTATGATATAATTCGAAGGTATGCCTTAGCATTTCATTTGGATTTCATTATCTTCATTATGGTCCCATAATTGAGATACCCAACCACGATGCTGGTATAAAAATATCAATATGTAAATACTGTATTTGACATTAAGGTTATTTAAATATAGCACGAGAATACTGAGATGAATAACTTAATTTTTCCAAATTACGTTTACAACCTGTAGCAACCATTAAAATAATAATGTGACTACCCTACTCTCCGTGGGACTTGATGACATTGGCGCACTTATTATAAATACTATGTAAACAGTATCGATATGATTAAAGGAGATAGAAAAAAGGAAATAGGAAATAGTAAGTCACCACATGGAGCTTCGTTGCAGACTCATGTGGTGAACATTTTATTTCATTTAATATGTTTACAATCTAATATCTAGTTCAAATTGTGATCCGGTTCAAGGAAATTAAATAAGGATAATAACCTAAAAACTTTCAAAAATTAAAAAAATCCTACTTTTTATTTTTAGTTAAGTAACAAATTGTGCGCCTGGTGGTATGCGGCACGCCTGTCCTTAGCAATTGTAGTGCCACTCAGAGCTTTAAGTCACTTAGGTCTCGGGCACTGCCACTACGCCCGTTACCTTGAGACATAACTTGACTAGTGCCTGTAATTTCACCAGGAACCTTAATCTTCAAAACTAGAACGCAGTAATTCGACCATTACTGCTTGGCGGCAGAAATAGGTAAGATGGCAGTACTTTCCTGGACGAACTCTTTTAGAAGAAGCTCTATGTAACAAAAAAGTACCTTGAAGTACAGTGATAATAAATCATGAACAGTAAACCTTAATACGCGAAAGAGCAACATAACTTCTGTATGTAAATTATGAATCCAAAGTGGTTATTAATGATTTCGAAGTTAAAGTGGTTTTAGCTCTTTATTAACTTTGTACATTACAAAATTATTGACTTAACTGAGATCTAAAGCCAAATATACAGACCCGTAGGCTCACTTTATATTACTGCGGAACGGAATGGAAGTGAATTTTTGTTAGGAAGTTGCACATAGTATAAAGGACTTTATGTCAATTGTACGTTGTAACAAACTGTATACGATACAGTACTTGCGTGAATTCCCGAGACTACGCTATAATTCTCCGGAAAACGCCTTTTTTGTGACTCGTATCTAGTGTTTACGTTACACAATTGTCAAAAAGTTCTAATTAACTAGCATAAATAGCTATCACTGCAAAATTTTGCTTCTATTCCGGTCCGCGGCTATGTAAATTGAGCCTTAGGATTAATAGGATGAACTTAATTAAAGTATGTGCTTTCTCAGTAATAACAAATTGGTGTACATAGCTACGATGATAATCCTGGATGGAAAAGCTTAGGTTGGTAATAATTGTATTATTCCGGTTTGGACATGGTTAAGCCTTATGTAATTAATTACGTACTGCATTATATATATATACAGGGTTTATTTTATTATCCTTATTATCTTTCTTTAGTAGTAGAGCTTCTTGCGAAAGAGTTCATCCAGGGAAGTACTGCCACCTTACCTATTTCTGCCGCCAAGCAATAATGTGAACATTACTGCGTTCCGGTTTTTGTAAGGGTAAGGGTGCTGGTGAATTTACAGGCACATGGGTCTTGTCAATGTACTTAAATCTCAGGGTGTCGAGCGCAACTGTTAGGGACAGGCGTGCCGCTTAATACCAGGTACACGACTTGTTCGTCCCTTCACATAGAATTATAAAAAACAAAAACTACCGTAGCGTATTTAGTACTTGGTTAGGTGTACAAGAAGCTTATTAGTCTGAAGTCTATAATTACCATCAACAGATGTCCTAATTATATCGAGGACTATCTTAAAATGCCTGTTAGCTCTATATAAGACTTGAAATGATACCCAAATAATTTTTTATCATTTATCGATCATACGGAAAATTGGTGTTTCGACATTAAAATTTTTTTTTTATTGATGTTAAAAACAGAAGTTACCCATAGTAAACGGGTAACTTCTGTTGTGTGTATGGGACCCGAAACACGATTTATTAAATTTCGCTCGTTATAAAAATCATAAAATTTTGCAAAATTTTCAATTTTTAACTACATAGGTACATCCACGGAATTTTTCTCTCGTATACCGTAATAAATACGGCAAGGAACTATGAGCTTACTTTACAGTAACATATTTTGTTCTAAAATGCGAAGGTATAAATGTCGTGCAATGAATTTCTTCGTGTCTACCTCACACGCGTCAAAACCCACGCAACCACTATACTATTTTGCCTTAAATGAAGCATTTTCATAATTAATCGTGTCTCATTCATTATCAATTACTAAACGATTTTTTTTAAAGAATTCACCAAATTACCTGTTCTCAAAAGAATTCCGTGTAGATACTATGAGTAACAGAGCAACTAAAAGGCACTACCCAGAATACCCGGGCCAGAACCAATTTAGATAATGTTCACTTTTCACAATTGGACCTTTCGAGAATGGAACCCAGGCTTTCTTCATCTAGCGCCTATTGTGTAAACTGTTGTCACAGCCGTCAAAATGCTCTCAATAGCATTCATATTTGTTACTGGCTTCTTATTATGGTAGCAGTCACATGGCTATTTGTAATTACGTCAATCAACATGTGTAGATACTGTATGTGACAAAGTATTCGTCATGTTCATTGACTTACAAAGTCATGTTCGACAAATACAGCAAACATCAAACACGCGCTACCACGTGCATGTTGACTTCTCGACGCGCATGAAAATGTTACAAAAGGTCCCCACAATGGTGTATTCATTAATTTAATTGCACATACAAAGTATTTGTGTTTGTTATTTGATTGTTTATTTGACAGCATGTGCAGATGATCACATTTGTCAGTATCTGAATGTTTGTCTGTACGTCAAATAAATCTCCAACAACAGCCAATAGCGAATACAAATAGCCATGTGAAGTGCCTCTGTTATTTATGTCATGTTGTTTGTAAATATTTTAGAATGTTGTATTTCAATTATAATTTTTGGTGAAATGTGTGTTAAGCAATTTGTAGTGTGAAAATACCAGCGGGGGTACTGTACTTCGTAGTCCTCTAGCTGGGTCAAAGACTTATTTACTATAACTGCCTCCATGGCCATACGGTTACCATGCCGGACTGCCACGCGAGGTCCCAAGTTCGAATCCCAGGGCGGAAGAAATATTTGTTCGGCCTACATTTATTTCTCTCGTGAATCTGGGTGTAATTCTTTTCCCCTCCCTAGAGAGATTCCCTAGAGCGGGACTATGAGTGTGAGCGGTTTATTATTATTATTATTATTTATTTTATATACAATACAAATTCTATAATAGTTATGTTTTTGACCCTATTTTTTCCTTTTATAAAGTACCATCAAAAACGTGCCAGTGTTTGGAATCTTTGCGCAGTGTAATATATCTATTAAACAAACATCAGCTATTCGAGTTGTAAGATTGGTACTAGACATGTGCACGCTATGCAACCGCCGCCGACGATTTTTGCACGCTGTCGCCGTCAAAGAATTTGACCGACGTAACATCCACGTGACGCAGTAATGTGACCATTGCTGCGTAAGAGTACCTACTGGCGTAATTACAGGCACATGGGACTTATCAACTTAGGTCTCAGGGTGACAGGCGCATTGGCAGGGCCCTTAAGATCTTTGCGATTTAAAGCTCTGAGTGGCGCTGCAACTGCTTTGGACAGGCGTGTCGCTTTACCACCATGCGCACGACTTATTCCTTCCGCCACTTGGTATCATAAAATAAAATGTACAATTGAAATGAAACACGTTTTTGTCTATGTACATCCTATGCATGCTACGCTTAAATTACGATCGTTTATGTGATAATTTTTTATAAACATTCTTTAAATTGATAAAGTGTAAATAAATTAATACAATAGTTGCTTTAAACAATATTTTAGCGTCTTCATGTCGCCGTCCGCATCGCCGCGCGGTCGAAAATCCGCCAGTAGCACGATAAGGCGCGACTTGTGCGAGAGCGACAAGGCGCGAGATGTCGCTGCGCGAATAGCAGTCTCTCGCGCTTTTTGTCGCTCTCGCACTAGTCGCGCCCTGTCCTTACTAGCCCAACTAACTTCGCAATCGACGATGTTACTATACACCGTCCAACCATTTATTTAACTTTCGACGTCAGCATGCCAGTTCCGTAATTATGGACATAAAACCTTAGATACAAAAATGCAATACTTCGTGGACTCTTTTATTTTTTAATTTTAGTAAAGCGACGTGCTCTTTAGCTCCATATTTATCGACAACAGGTTATGTAACGAGGAGTATTCAAGTTGATAAATTTTGGTACCTGTCTAATAACTTGTAATGAAATGAAATAAATTATAAATAATTGGAATAAATTCTTAATGTTTATTATAATGAATTATCGGATTCTTCTCCATATGAACGGGAATCATCACTTGAATCCTCATTAACATTAATTATTAATTAGGTACACAAATTACCAAACGCAACATCACGATCACAATCAGACAATTTCTTTTTTTTGAACCCGCTCACATTCATGATTAAAACTTCGTCGTAAATAAAATAAATTGTTATAAAAAATCGATTCGGAAACGCATTAGGACATCACTAATTGATTGGAATTCGATCTGTCAAAATTGAAATAAAGTTGATACCAACATGTATGTAAAGTGATGATAAGTGAAGGTCACTGAACCGGTATCGCGCGGTAGTTTGACGTTTGCAGTCTGCGCGAGCGCTCGCTTGTGACCATTACGTTGTGGAAAAAAGTGAAATTTGATTGATTAACTATGGAATGGTGTAGAACGGAAGATGGTAAGTTTTAACTTGTTAGCTTTATATAACGTTTAATATGAAAATAGTATAATTATACATTTAGATCGTGTAATATGTTAGGAATGCTGTCGTCAATTGTTCGTTGGAAATAATATCGATAGATACATTTTCATTATGTACTTCTTATCTTTTTCTACGTTGACTTTAATTAATTCAGTTAATTTATATGAACAACAATGAATAGACAAATAATATATCCACGAACGTTTCTCATTTAAGTCATGAATAAATACAGCGTCACGTGTGATCCCTCAACGTTTCGCTTAAGATTATATTCTGACATTAACTTTTATCTTATTATGTTTATCTCGTATGAATTCCATTACAAGCTATTAATATCCTTCGTGGCCGTTTCCGAGAGAAATACACTCCCGGACACATATTTCGAGCCACCTTGCATTTTTAGTATTAAATGCACTAAGCTTAAAAAATATGTTTGATTGATCAAAAACTATTAATGCAATTTTGAAGCTAGTTTACTTAACGTCATTTCGGTATGTCCTTGTTGAAAATTTGATTTTGTGAAACCAGGGAAAAACGAGTTTAAGTGTCATAAGTCTCGAATTCACCTTTGTCAAGTGAAACTCTAGTAAAGAAATTTTAAAGAAAACAGTGGCTTATCAGAAAATATTGTCTATTCAGTAACTTGTATTGCCTCCAAGAGCGTTGACGCCATGCGTTGGTGGCAGCCGCGGCCCCGTCACAACCTCAAGCGAAGTTTTGCCTTCGGTGGACATTCCTCCCCAGACTGTCCATGAACCCCCGCCAAAGCTCACTTTCTCTTCAATGCAACACTGCACAAAACGCTCTCCTTGTCTTCGGTAGACCTTATTCCTTCCATCATTACCATAGACCATAATCTTAGTTTCATCAGTGAAGAGTACCTGGCACCACTGACGTGGAGTCCAATGCAAATGCTCTCGTGCAAATTGGAGTCGCACCATTCGATGAGCTCGTGTCAATTTGCGCCCGTTCGCTGGCTTATGTGGAGTTAGACCACGTTCCTTAAGTCTCATTCTCACAGTTCTAGCGCTAACAGCCATTCCATGAAAGTCTCGAAACTGTTCTTGGATCTGTACTGAAGTCAGTTGACGATTTCGTGAGCTCGTCGTGAAGATAAATCGATCTTCCGTTGTCACTCGAAATCGTGGTCTTCCTTGACGGCGAACATAGCCGCCAGTCTCTAAGTGCCGATGGTTATAACCTTTCAACAGTGGAATGACTGAAATGCAGTTGTGTACTTACATTACGCTGACTAAGTCCAGACTGCAAAAGTGCCAAAGCTTGTGCGGCTACTTCAGGCGCAGTGTTCATAATTCCTTCGAGAAATTTGGTTTAATTTAAAGGAAAAGCAATGTAATACTCCTTTATTGTTAAATAAAACAATTAAATTAAAAAAATACTGAAATTATTTCGTTTTGACTTGCACCTTAAGCTCCCTTATTTCTTTAAAAACAATGACGAATCACGACTTTTCTCCGTTTTTCAAATTCGTAAATTCAAATTTGGAATAACGACACACCAACGCCAACATTAATACGGCATAAAAACTTTTTCTTAAAATATGTGTGTTTAGTATTATATAGTATTATAATTTTTAAACAAACACGTATCATCGGCGATCACATTATAACTTAACATTAGAAATTAGTGTCAAGCAATGCAAGTAATATTAAAATTGTGATATCACCCAACGGTATAATGAAATAATCACACATTATTTTGGAGAATTATACATCACTACTCAACCCGACACAATACCGAGCAGACTGAATCTTGTTTTTATTTACGCTCGATATTATTTCACGTACAGTATAATATTTTATCTACACACTTATCATAAACCCTCTATGATGTGTTCAAAAACTGGAAATTACGACTAGTATAATGATAAACTGTTTTGTTTCAACATATTTCTTAACTGTGGAAAAGTTAATATTGCTAATAACATCAAATTTTATTTTATTACACACAATTTTATACATTCAAATTTCGAACATCTCTGAGAAACAAAACAATTTGATTTGACCTCAATTCTGATATCAGTCGCGATGAAATTTTATTCGAAATGAAATGTCCATAGCAAACAATTTTGACAAATTTTACACGTTACTTGATATCGAACGATATGATAATTGGAGCCGACTCTAGTTTGTCTATGAATTAAACAAAAAACTACGGTTGTTTGACAAGCGTGAAAAAAGTTTTTATTTATAACATGTGGTTCCTGAACACATCATATAATGTGTAATCAAATCATTTTGATTGGAACCCTTGTAATATGTATGTGTATAGAACTGTACATAATTAGCATTGACTTACAAATAAATGGACGACGGGTCTAATACAAAAACCACGAAAAAAATGTCCTAAGTCAACCTATTCGAAATTTAAATTGTTATGTCATCGCAGTATCGCGCTGTCCGTAGAACAAATGAAGACTAAAGCGGAGTGTCGCGCTCTGTATACGATTTTAGCGCCTTACAAGTGCGGACACTTTTTAGCGCGGACCCGACGTCCATATAATTGTAAGTCAATGATAATTAGGCATTAAAACACTCGTGTGACATTTTTATGAACATAAACTCACACTCGTATTTTGAAGACTTTCATTAAGTAATAGTTACATAAACTACTATACACCATCAGTGAATTTGCTACTTAAAAATTGTAATACTTCGTTAACGCGTATCGGTCTCAGCAATGTATGATGGTAATATTACTAAGTAGCAAAACAAGCAGGAAGTAATGTTTACAACACATACATATTTTTTAGTTTGCGTGACGAGCGTGATGGTGTTATAGTCGAGGATAGTGCAAATCGCGTATGTAGTATATTGGTAAAATGCGCGTATCTGCACCAAACCAGAGAGAGATTTAACGTCATTACTTTATTATTTCAATGGCTACGACTCTCATTTTTACCCAGTAAGCATTAATTTATGTTGTCTACGGACTGATAACAATAGATTCACGTAAATCACGCCAATTTTGTTGCCCAATTATTTAATTTATATAATTACGCGGATTTGATTTGGCCACTAAATTACCGATATCACATCGTATCACACCTGTTACTTTCACGGGAATTAATGAGTGATGGTCATTGTATTCACTTAATTTATTTGGATGCCTCCCCTTAAGACGAAATATTCACATTCCCTGTATGTCTGGCGCATCCTGGGCACACCCCGGACACTCCATACAACGGTCGAAAATTATTTACTTACTACTACTACAACATACAGTAAGGCGCTATCTGCACACGAGCCAATGAGTGCGTGAAATGGCAGGGTTACCCATCACTTTCTCGCACTATTACATTAGGTGGTCAGAGCGGCAACATAGCGAAAATCCTAACGCGAATCTGTTATCTTTGATTCTATTAATAGAATCCTAATAATTATACATGTCTGTTAGGTATTTATATCGATATATTATTATATTTTTCATTAATTCACTAACTAGAGTAATATTGAAGATTTATTTCAAAAATATATTAAAAGTACTTCAAATGTTATATTTCGGACATGTATACTTTTAAGGTAACCAAGGTATTTGAAATTGCTTGTCCTAGTTTAGTTAATAATTAGATATATTCACTACCTACGTAATATTTATCGGTAACACGAATAGAAAATTCGCGACGTCATGGCGTCTCATTGTATTGACATAATAAATCTGTATTTTTTATACATAAATATATTACTCTGAAGTAAATAAATGAAGAAAACAATAATTTAGTTATTAAGAAAAGAATAACCGAATGAGTCTCAGATATACCTTTTTTTTTACTTACTTCATTTCATCTTTCTGAAAATGATGATAAACAATAAACAAAAACAAATGATAAATAAAAACATAGCACAATTCACGACCATTATAAATAGTAACGTAAAATGATGTTTTATATTAACGTACAAGTTTCGTAATGAATAAATGAAAACTATATTCAAATATCAAAGCCGCGCGAAAACGGCTCGCCCCGGTAGCCTTGTTGTCGTTCAGTCAATGTGACCGGCAATGTGTGGGGCGTGGTGCGGTATCTAAAACTAGGGAGGGGCGGAGAGTGTCCGTTCTCTTATTTTTTATTCTCTGTCCTGGGTAACAATCAGCGAGCACGTTGCATAGTCCTGGGCTGCAAGACTATGCCATCGATACAATAAAAGGAAGAAACATTATTTATTAATTTCATCATATGTACATAGCTCCTTGTGAACGAGTTGGTCCAGGGAAGTACTGCCACCTTATTTCTGCCGCCAAGCAGCATTGTAAGCATTACTGCGTTCCGCTTGAAGGGCAAAAGTGCTGGTGAAATTTCAGACACATGGGACTTAACTTATGTCTTAGGGTGACGGGCGTAGTGGCAGTGACCCTTAGATCTTTGTACCAGGCGCACGACTTGTTCGTCCCGTCACTTGGTACCATAACAAAAAAAACTTGTTTTTAATATGACATATTGATAGAACCAGTATGATACTAGCAGCAGCTCAATAGCAGGGACCAAAGTTTGCTAATTTTCTGGCCATTGTAATTGTATTGAGATTCCACTTACGATAACATTTGTTATTCTGCTAAAATCTGATTTCAATGAAAATCGACACTTAAAAGAGCGGCAGTAGAATGACCGTTTCGCCTACCAGGATCCCCTAGCTCAATCCCCCAGGGGATCCTTGTGGACTCAGTAGTTCACCAGAATCCCCCGAACGCAGATATATACCGTTAAGCCCCATTCACACTATGGTACCTTAAAACAACATATCGTCGCCTTACTTTCTCAAACACTTATCTTAAAGCACAATGTTACTGAATTGCAAAAAATAGATTGTATATACAAATTTTGGACGGTGGTTTTACATCACATTTCCTTCATTACTTTAAGTAATGCATCCGAATTAACACCCTTGATAAGAAATTTAAAATAAAAAATGAATGTAAAGTTTTGATATCTCCAGAATAATCTCTCTATAAAATATACATGTTTGAGAAAGTAAGACCTCCATATGACAGTGATAGCATTCATTAATTAAATCACTAACGATCGATGTGGCCCAACTAAAACTACCATGGAAATTAACATGCGCATCTCAATGTTTATCTCGTTTAATCAGCAATTTAGTCTTCAACTTAAATGTATTTTTTATAAAATAATACTTGATAATCGATATAAGATTTAGTAGTAAGAGTAAGTAAAAACCTTCGAAAGAAACTTCAAAACGTGCCGTCGACTCACCTTGAAGAGCAGAATACCAAAAAGCAGTGGCAGTTGTGTAAGTCTATAACTAGCCACTGACAAACCACTACTTTTAACGTTTAGCACATAGTTTCCCAAAGTAGTCCCCACAGCCTCCTACTGAGCGCTGAAGAGTCTTAGGAGGGCAGTAGGAGCCTCGGAAGCAATTGGTAGGGGGCGTGGATGCTACCGCATTTAAAAAATAACAAGAATGATCCGTATAAACTACACTACATATGTACATATAATTTTTTTACTTGTGATTTTTTTGTGTTAAGTTAATGTAAAAAAATACGTGTTTTCAATTATTTTTTATGGTAGTGGGCGTTAAAATTTTTTTTATCTTGCCTATGATGGCGGTGAGCTAAAAAGTTTGGGAAGCAATGATTTAGCAGAATACCAAAGATTTGTATCTTCATGGCATAGACATTCTTTTTAATTATTTTTATTAAAAAACGAGCGCGCATTTGACCTCCATATCACCTAATGGAAAGTGACGATCGATGAGGGGAGGTTCAGGGAACGTAGGGAATTCTACTCCATAGCCATTGGCCATATAAATGTAGAAGCAAAATGCTCCGTACAAATCTTTGGAATATCCACAATATAAGGGTGTAACCCCAGGCTATTCAATCGACACACAACTGAGTACATTTAAAATTAGCAGCAAACATATGAGCCCTCAACACCCACTGTAACGTATTATAGGTTAACGGTAATAATAGCGCAAAAATACCTATATACGCTACAGGGAAAATCTGTCCAGTCATGTGTACTTACTACAACATAGAACCGCAGCATTTAGGGGTAATATTCAGCTTCAAAATGCTGGAATAATATTCCACCACGTAGTACCACCATAAAGTGACGAGTCTTCCAAACACAAATTCAAAGCACTTTACTGGCAACACCTACGCTCGTTACAAAAATCTGTCTAATTTGTTGAAATTTTACTATTTTTATTAGTTTTCATATCCCTATGTACACTTCTTTGTAGCCTTTCTAAATATATATTTGCATTTTGATTTATTACACTAAAACATATTCAAAATTATAATTTTCACTTACAGTTACACTTACATATTCATATCCGCATATGCACTTACATGTTAAATAGGTTGAATAGGTGAAATTACAGGCACATGGGACTTGTCAACATATGTCTCGGGGTGACGGGTGGAGTGATAGTGCCTGATCTGATCTTTGCGATTTAAAGCTCTGAGTGGAATTGTAGCTGTTATAGACAGGCGTGTAGCTTATCACCGGGGGCACGTCCCGTCACTTGATATTATAAAAAAAAGTTGATTTTAGATCCTCTATTCTAGATTTAGTCCCTCTCGTTGGTTCTGACTGAAGACCAGCGACGGAACTTAGGCACATGCTAAGGCAGCGTCATTTCGCTGCTATGACAAAACATGTTTTATTTTTCCTGTTGTATTAAATCTGTATTTGTGTCATGCTGGTGAATACAGTGTTTATCTATCAATCTATATCCGTGTATCAGTTAAAATGTTTTTTTAACATATGTAGACTTTAAAAAAATGTGGTAGTCAATAAAGTACGTAAAAAAGGACCTTACCTACAATAGACTGTTAAAATGAGCCAACAGAATACAGAAACAAAAAAAAACAAAAGAAAATCTCAGCGTTTAGCATCTCACTGCAGCATCTGAATACAAACGAGCATTATTTTCCAATGCAAAATAGAACGCGTTTTTAATTTATTTTCTCGTTTATTCCAGGACGATACAGAATAGAGTCCCTGTCAGCTGCTACTTTCCCGGGAGCTTTAGAAGTAAGTATCATAAGAGTATTATACTTTATCTTTCAATTTCCTTTTCAAAAAATACAATGCCTTGTATGATTACGATATATTTTTATAGAGCTATTTATAGCTAACTAAGGCGTACTCCATCTTTAACTAAGTAATAACACTTCATTTAGTTGTGTCTATAGTTGTTGCAATGCTATAACTTCTTATTCGTATAACCGCACATATTTAAATTTTTTCCTGTCGATAAAATCGTAGTACGGTCATTCTGATGTTCACTACTTAATTTCCGTGGCAATTTGTATTATTTTAGTATTCGATTTTTTATTGTGCAATATTATTTCATATGCGAGTGTTGTATCGTGAAATATGATTTAATAATTACACGATAATATACTTGAATATTTAAATAATAACAATTGCCACGGAAATTAGGTAGTAAACACTAATCCGAGAATGACCGAGTACAGTCTTTTAGAGCTCAAATGAAATTTCGTGACTTTACATAATTCGCTTTTAAACTTTCACGTTGCACATAGATATTATCTCACCTACCTAAATATTATACCGACGTATCGGCCGAGTTGCATTGGCCGTGGTTCCTGGTTGTCATTTTACGTGTACGTTTTATGAACACCCTGTTTATATATATATATGTTACGCACTGCTATTACAATAGTGTTGTAACTCAAAATATGTGAAATTTAATATTATATCATTACTGAACATAAAATTTGATTATCTACACGTCAAAAAAACCGTCGTTAGAATATTGTAAGAAACAATAAAAGATATCTACTTAACTCAAAATGAGACACACTTTCTGTGAGCTAGTTCTGACCAAAATAATAAATTTTGAGTTAATACACTATTGTATTAACAGTACCATATATATTCAGTTACTGAATTTACCGTCAGCAAAATGAAATCCTTTTTTTACGTTATAACTCATCACATTTTGATAGCAGTAGAGCTCCTTGTGACAGAGTTCGTCTAGGGAAGTATTGCCACCTTACCTATTTCTGCCGCTAAGCAGTAATGTAAGCATTACTGCGTTCCGGTTATGAAAGGTGAAGTAATAACAATAAAAGTATTGCACGGCCGACATCCTTAAGATCTGGAACAATCACAAGTTAACATATTAGCATCAAATAAGTGACTTAAAATAGATAATTTGTTTCCAGTAACTGAAGGATTCATTTTCGCGATACAAGACCTGATAATTAAGACTAAAAATTATAGAAAATATACAACAAAAGATCCATCGGCAACAAACGATAAATGTCGCAAGTGTCAGATCCAACCAGAAACGAGTCAGCACATTACAGGAGCATGCGCAGCCCTTGCACAAACAGACTACACTCATAGACGCAACTAAGTAGCAAACAACATTCACTAGAAACTGGCACTCAAATACGCACTCATACAAGGCGCTAACACTTCTTATTATAAATACACACCACAAACTATCCCAGAAAACACAACTCTACTACGACCGACCGCGCCATTCTCACGAAGAGGACAGTTCATTTTAATAGACCAATATAACTCTGCATGATAAAATACTAAGAAATAAATAAAATTACTAGAAGACTATAAATGAAAAAATAAGTAAATTCACAGATCTAAAGGTTGAAGTTTCTAGAATTTGGCGACGAGTAAGGTATATATATTTACCCCAGTTGTTCTTACCACAACAGGCATTATTCCTAATCATCTTAACCATACCCTTAAATGATTAGGGTGTAAAGAAAGCCTCGACATAACTTAGTAAAAAGCTGTAATTTTAAATACATGCCGCATTGTCCGAAACTTCATGCAGATGGAAAGTGACAAAGTAGGATCTTATTACACACCCACCACATACTCGTAGAAACACGCATATTGCATTTACTTGACTTCCGTCCTTAAGTGTGGTTCAAACCAGCTAACAAGCATAGCATATAAGCAAGCAAGCGGGAAAAATAAAGAAAATAATAATAATAATTTAATATTTTAGGCTTTGGGAAAGGCGAGAGTCCAAAATAGATATAATAATAATAATAACGCACACGCTCAACATGGCTCTAGGGAAACCCTGCGTGGCGGGTGCCAAGGATACACATAGACAACCACAAATGATACCGAAACTCACAAGAGAAATAAATGTAGGCCATACAAATATTTCTCCCGGCCCGGGAATCGAACCTGGCATCTCTGCGTGGCAGTCCGGCATGATAACCGTTCGGTCACGTGGGCAGTTAAAATTACTGGCACATGGGACTTGTCAACTTATGTACTTAACACACTGAGTGGTACTGCAACTGTTATGGACAGGCGTGACACTTACCACTAAGTGAGCGACTTGTTCGTCCCGTAACGGTAACCCGTAACAAATTGTAAAATAATAGCTAAGAAATTTGATAATTACTTTATAGAAGAAGTTCAACCAAATTGCAGTGTAAAAAGTAAAAACACACGTAATTATTCTACTTATAAGTCATTTGTCATGAAACCTACAGTCCCTCAAGACGTATTTAATATAATATGCAATTTAAAAAATACAAGCAGTACATGATACGATGACATATGCACAAAAGTACTAAAATATGTAGCACATATAATTTCTTCTATCCTCAGTGATATAAATAATATGTGCATTGAAGAGGGATCATTTCCAGAAAAATTAAAAATAACTATTATAAAACCTATGTGTAAAAAAGGCAATAAACATCTTATGGAATCATATATACCTGTAGCTCTATTGCCAGTTTTTTCTAAAGTATTCGAGAAAACTATTTATGATAATTTGTATAATTATTTTGAGAACAGTGAAGTTTTTTGTAAAGAACAAAGAGGTTTTAGAAAAAACAGCTCAATTAATTTAGCTATATACGATTTCTTAGAGAAAATACATAACAGGATGGATGGTGGATTATCAGCTCTTGCTATATATTTAGATATGACAAAAGCTTTTGGCTATGTGGACGATGACATTTTACTTGACAAACTATACTCATATGGTGTAAGGGGCAATATGCATAACATGATACAATCATATTTAAAAGGTAGAACTCAAGTGACCAAAATTAATAAAATCAACATTATGACAAGAATAGAAATGGAATATAAGTCTGATTCTAAAGTAACAATATATGGAGTACCACAGGGCACCATTTTGGGACCCTTACTCTTCTTAATACATATTAATGACATGCCTAACGCATCCCATCATCCAATGACGTTTTATGCGGACGATTGTGCGGTCACATATATTAAAGAAAATGAAATAAATAACAGCTTAAATTCATCAATAGAATGGCTTCCAGAAAATAATTTAAAAATTGATTTTTAAATTGATCTTCAAAAACCAAGCTCATGAATTTTAAGTTGAGAAAAGCAGCTAGTCAAATAAACATAGAATATAAAGGGACACACATAGAACAAACAGACATAACAAAATTCCTAGGTATACACATTGATGATAAAATAAGCTGGAAAGCACAATTAGAAAATGTTTGCAGTAAACTCAATACTTGTGCATATACACTATACATGCTTAGCAAAGGTGTCGATAGAAGCTCGGTCCTACAAGCATATCATGGGTATGTTGCTTCAATATTAAGATATGGTATAATATTCTGGGGAAATGCAACCAATGTGAATTCAGTTTTCAAGGTACAAAAAGATGTGTCAGAGCAATGTGTCGTTTGAAGAGAACAAATAGTTGTAAAACATATTTTAAGGATCTTCGAATACCGACTGTACCTTCACTTTACATATACGAACTGCCATATACGTCCGAATGCACCCACACTTGTTCAAACAAACTCTAAAGCCAAGACGTTATGACCAACTTCATTTCAAAGCTTGTAAAACTACTTTCACGCACAAAAGTATCTTTGTAATGGCGCCAAAAATTTACAATAATTTACCGAAAGTATTGATGTCTGAAAAAACCTTATATTATTTAAAAAACAATTAAACAACTTATTGACTAATAAAATTTACTATACAGTGTCTGAATTTTTAAATGATAAATCCCTAACTTCATTGTCAGATTTTTGATATTTATATTTATTTTTTGACGTTAATAGTTTTATTATTTTGACATCTAATTACATTAAAAATATTTTAATTTAAATTGCTGACCGACTTATTAAATCCATGTGTGCACACACTCATCTGATATTAGAAAAAATAGTATGTTATATCTGGTTTAGTCTGTTAAAATGCATCAGAATAAATGTATAATTAATAACACTTTCAACACATTTGTAAGCCTGTGTCCGGCCATGTTTGGCCGGACACAGTGAAACTCTACTTATTTTGTACATGTCAACTTCCAAATAACCTGTGTTTTCACAATTAAATGAATTATGAATTAATTTGTAAAATTTAAAATTACAGTTTTAAATAGCTATGCCTTTCAGACTAGAATATAATAGTGCAGAGGAATTAAAAACCTCAAAAGTCATTCATTCCTTAGTTTGCCACCACTGAGACCACGACTGAGGTACCCTCTTTCCAATAAAAAATTAAATGAAGATGAATCACTTAACATACATACAAAAACAAAAAACTTGCAGTGAAATTGAAATCCTCCTTTTTTGAGGTCGGTTAAAAATAAGTAGGTACTTAAGACCATTAAAAATTATAAATTTTTCCAAATACATTTTTTTCTCAAAACACCATCTGACTTGAGCCTTTTTCATTCAGGTTGTATATTAATTTGAAAAAATGGCGAAATTACGGTCACGTGAGTCGTCAACTTATGTCTAAGAGTGACGGGTGCAGTGGCAGTGCCCCTCAGATCTTTGCGTTTTAAAACTCTGAGTGGCACTGCAATTGTTATGGACAGGCGTAAAGCTTACCATCAGGCGCACGACTTATTCGTCCTGTCACTTGATTTTATATAAAAAAAAAGTTTTGTAAATTTTGTATCTATCATAATGTTTAAATATATTTAATATTTAAGACTACGACATACCACATCATTATCTAAGCTGCATCATAAATACAATTGTTGTACAAAATTGTTCTAAATATAAACAGAAAAAAATCTTCTTTTTACATTCCAGGTTGTGAGAAACGCCTTTTGCCAAGACGAAGTAATAAGTAGAAGCTCGGAAATTAATAAGAATCCGTTAGCAGCCGAAGAATTGTTGGAACTGTGCGCAGACACAGCATTAGACGGTGTATCATTAGTGGCAATTGAAAACACTACTGGAGAAGAAGTTGCTGTTGCATTTAATAAATTGCAGGTAGAGAATCGATCAATTTTAATTAATTACTTTGTAAAGGTGAGCGCTGTATCTGGACTTGGTCCATTTAATTTATCATAAGTGATAAAGTTTTCTAATAATCTAACCTCTTGTATAAGTAGCCTCTTGTAATAATTGAATACCGGAAATAATAATAGAGATAAGAAATAATCATTCTAGAACAATAATTTAATCTCTTCGTACTGAAACTTCCGATAAATCATTTGGATAAAAAAACCTGGCCAATGGTAGTTAAGTGGTGTTGTGTTTTTGAATGAAAAGCTTTGTAAAAAAATAACTCTTAGTGTATGTGACACTATGTACAATATAGTGTCGTATAGACACTAAGTACGACATAGTGTCATATACAATACTACAATGGTAACGCCATACAATATTACAGCGTGGCTTGTATGTGTACGCGCCCACCGCGTGCTTTGTACCGACGCACACATTTGCATAGCCTCGCAATGCTTTTGCGTAGCTGGTCGTCACAAGCACATTATTATGCGTATTATATTTAATATATTTGTATGGAGTTACCATAATTGTCTTACTAAATATATATGATATGGCGATGATAATGATCTTACAGGTACCTGCAACTAACGCTTCGGAGAAGACATTCTTTGAAATATTCACAGAGGAAAGATGTACCCAAGATTCATCTCGTTCACTAATCAATTTCATGGCCGATGTTGATGGACGATGCAATCTATTTGAAAAGTAAGTAACGGCTATACAATGGTTAAATACATTCACCTGTGTCCGTATGCCTAATTACTTGCCCTATGGAATTTTTCTTTGTGTTCGATCTTTGTATTAATAATTATAACAAACTTGGAATAATATCACAAAAATAAATTAATGACAAGGTAGTAAAACATGTTCAACACACACAATAATATATTCAATAAAGTCTACAATGTTTTAATTAATTTTTCAGGTATGGCGTCGACTGCAGTTTGGAGCTAATGTTCCTAGCAACATTACGAGAATTTCGTGATAAAAAACTCGGCAGTATACTTTGTAAAATGTCCATCGAACTTGCAAAAAAGTTGAAGAATGGACCAGTATCCAAGATGACTATTCAAGATCTAGGTCCTAAGTATTGTAACATGCCATCACGTGCTGTGACTACTAAGTACCCAAAGATGTGCCAAGTGATTTGGACATCGGAAATAAGTCAGAGAATTGGACGGAATCTAGGTTTTGAAGTTGTTATAAAAGAGCCCTTGTCTAAATTCGTTTATAAAGGTAAAACTTTTGCTGAAAGAATTGGTGATGATTCCCTATGTTGTGAGGTTGCTGTATTACTTCTTTATTGATTAAATAAATTAGTTTTTATATGCTTATTTTTATTTTTCATTTATAATCAAGTTATTGACCCATAAATATACTATCTACTATCATAAAACACTATTTATTTATTTCCACCTATGGACTGCGACGTGCCACGCAACGTGGGTGTCCGGTAACGTCGATATATCACACCCTTCGGCCAAAACTCCTCCTTCCTGAAGGTCGACAGATGTTGAGTTGATACTCCCATTACAAATTAATTAAAATTCACATTGATCACCCCAACCGCTCGACCCTCAGTGTAAGTTTGGCTTTCACCCGTATATACTCCACAATATCCGCAGTTGTAATGAGCTGTGACACCTACATAACAACGTTGTCGGTGGACGCAATAGATGATGAGGACCAGTAGGCTGTGCCACTAAGGTTAAGGCTGGTGTACTTCTTTTTCCGTTCCACCTTTTTGAAACCGTCCTCGTCGCACTGGTCAATTCGTCTCGGTGCTACTGACTACACAGTTGTGAGTACCACCGAGACGAATTGACCAGTGCGACTCTGGAGTTCCAGAGATGAGTTCCCGTTTCTTCTTCTTCCCCTTTGTTGACAACTGCCTGGGTTGTGGTTGTGACGTGGTACTTAATAATTAAATACTTTCTATACATAAAAATAGCATCAGAATATAAAATAATTATTTATGTCCTTTAGTATGATTTAAAGTAATGTTAAATAAAAAAAAATTATGTGGGTTACACCATTTTTGCGCTGGTAGCCTCAATTAAAAATACGGTATTACATTCAAATGGTTCCTGTATAAACGTTAGAAAGTCCCTAAACTCAACGATGAGCCAAGATTCGAACGTTGTCATGCCTGTAACGACTCAGAAAAAATATATTTAAAAAAAGGAGTATTTTTTACTTTTTACAAATGTGCATTCAATTAAAATTTTTTGAATAAGTACGCCTGTTTAAGATTTTCATGTAGGTACTACAACTACAAATTTGCAAAAATTTTACTCTTTTAATTTTTGTAACGGTAACTTAAATAGCCCAGCTAATGAATACGATTCCAATGAAAGTCCGAATTGCCAAAGTTTCAAAACTAAATAAATAATATGATTATTTCTATATTATCTAATGAACTGTAAAAAAAATGTACTTGGGCTACCATGGCAACTTATTACAAAAGTTGGCGCAACTAATCAAGATTTTAAAATGGTATAAACCTTGTACATCTTGCTTCTAAAAAAGTTCTCTACGGGACCCAATTTTAAAAGATTACCTTTTCTGAGTGAAAACGGCTTTCAGTGCCACTTAGTTAAATTTTGGTTTCAGATTCGTATACTCGAAGTTAGAGTGATCAGTATGAATGAGACACACAGTCGCAAAATTCCAAATTTATCAATAAATATAGGAATTTCAATAAATTGAATGGATACATTATTATAATTTTATTACATACTACAGCAAGTGCATTTCCATCGCCATCAATACATGCACATCATTTTCACATTTCGTCAACCGTTTTTCGATCGGTTTAATTGATAAAATCTCATGGCGGACCTTTAAATTATTAAGATACTGTGTTATTTGTAAAATTTTACTGACTCCGTGACCGAACGGTAACCATGCCGGACTGCCACGCAGAGGTCCCAGGTTCGATTCCGGGCCGGGAGAAATATTTGTATGGCCTACATTTATTTCTCTCGTGAGTTTGGGTGTAATTTGTGGTTGTCTATGTGTGTGTCCATGGCACCTGGGACACAGGGTTTCCCTAATGTGGGGCTATGTATAGTTGCCCAATTCGATCGGCATCATAAAAATACAGAATATTGTTTTAACCTTTAATCAGGAGGCAAGTAATTATTTAAAAGCCTTTGAACTTGAATGCTGTATTATTTACTTTTAAAAGTATCCTATCTACAATATTTAAAGTACTCTCCGTAACCGTTACACGCCTAGTATATTTTCGTTAATGGCTGTATTTTTACTCCAATGTTGACGCCAGTATTAAGTACAACTAAGATACATTCAATTTCAATGATACTTAAAATAAAATTTTAATTTTAATAACTATAATTTCGCCAATATTATAATAAGTACAACCCTGTTGTTTGCAGGACATTACGGACTTTTCGACCGACATTGCGTCTTTGTTATACAAAGACAACAACTTAAGGCGGGTCACCGGAGAAGAAGCAGGAAAAACTGTTTTGCTAGTACAAATGGTTTAGGTATTTACTATTAATAACGGTCTTACAAAAAATATACGAATATACTTAAGAATATTATCTAAAGAATGTGCTAATATAATAATACCTCGCCTTAATAATGTGCCAGACAACCACACATTAATTGCCTGAACTCAAACTAGGGCATTTCTTTGCTATGGTTATCGGAGCAACGGAATCCACTTGTGACGGTGTGACCTCCTTACATAGTTATCCCACCTTTTTATCGCCTTTCTCCGATTCCTGGCCACCGTATTTAAATTTAAATTTTGAATTGTTCCACAGCTCTTTTGCCTCGCATTCTGATTTTGTTTCGTCCCACCGTCACTCTCTTTGGGGCACTTCTCAGAACATCCAGACCAGAACCAATTTGGAAAAGTTGATTTCCCCATTCCTACCGGGAATAGAATCCGGAACCGCCTCATCTAGCGCCTATTGCAGAAACCGTTGGGTCACGGTTTGCAGTATGGACGCTGAAAGTGGAGGAATGAACTTTTCCAAATTGATTCTGGTCTGTGTTCCGGGTACTGTCCCGAAATGAATTCCGTTGCTGGTATTTATGGTACAGGAACATTCCCTAGTGTCGTTATCTGGGACATTATTGTTGACAAAAAAAAATCGCCATCAATAATAAAATATCATCAACATTTTCTTATATTCTATTTATTTTGCTAACGTAGGAGTTGTCAATGTTGTAGGTATAACAAGTATAATTGGATGTCAGATTAATAATGTTACAATATGTTGTAGCTCATATTGTTATTTGTAGCCTATTATTATCTATACATATTTTTACAAATAAATGAATTGAAAATGAGTAACAACCTTTTTTTATGATATCAAGTGACGGGACGAACAGCGACATGCCTATCCATAGCAGTTGTAGTGCCTCTAAGATCTGAGGACAATATCACTGCGCAATATCAATTACCGAAATTTATTAATCACCGCAATATCACCCCGTGACAAAAGTTGGTAAGTCCCGTGTGCCCGTAATTTATAAGGTAGCAGCAGAGCTCCTTGTGAAAGAGTTCATCCAGGGAAGTACTGGCACCTTATCTATTTCTGCCGCCAAACAGTACTGTCAGCATTACTGCGTTCCGGTTTGGAAGGGTAAGGATGCTGGTGAAATTACAGAGAGGCACATGAGACTTGTCAACTTAATTTTTGGACCTGTTCTGTTTTTAGTTTGCTTTTTGTTTCTTTTTTTTCACAAAATTCGTATTTTGGTTTCTTTTTTCGGATTTTATTTTTTGTAACTTACACAAAATTCGGGGAGCATAATATTAGTAAATAATTATAGTCGTTTACAAAAATAACAAAAAATCTCAAAAAATAAAGTTGGCATAGTGTTCATTGGAGGTATCGTTATGACACAATGGTAATCTAAGATCTTTGAGATTAAAAGCTGCTTACAGCAACTGTTACGGATAGGCGTGTCGTTTACCACCAGGTGAACGACTCGTTCGTTCTGTCAATTATTACTATAAACAAGCATTTTACATATATTTAATTATCGCTGAAAAATAAACCTTTTATGTACTGTTCACATTCCTTAAAAAGTCAATTATATGAAATTATACAACGGTAAGCGTGATTAGTTCCAAGAAAGCAACAAAATTCATTAATTTTAATGCTATACTATAAGTTACCAAAATTTACATATTAATAGCTAATAGTGTAGCTTTTAGCCCTAGATTTTATTATGAATATCCCATAAACTACAATTCAAATGGAGTCAAATATATAACCTTTTGGTCAGATTTAGTGAGTTAACACGACAACTCTAATTGCGTTGGCTGACTTGGAGCAAATTGGTCCTTGTTAATTGATTCTGATTCACGTCCGACTTCAGTTGGTCGCGTACCGCTTATTCCATTAGCCCGTGATTGTTCGAACTATACCTAGATACATTTGCATACTCGGCGGATTAACTAATGCTACTATTAGTCTATTATAATGTATAATTGTAAGATTGTCCTATAGATAGTAATCTGAAATAAAAATAGAAACTTATGTATATATAAAAGAGGTTGGTGCCGGTACCATAGATACTGACCGGTACCGGACGTTTAATACTTTTATGACTCTAAATACAATGAGAAGGTGCGTTAATTTATGGAAAGTTTACGAGCTGGGGGGCTGCTACCTAGTGTAGCAGTCCGACGTTGAGGATGATTTATTGGGCACTGGCGCTGCGCCTCATGCCTGCTCCACCGGTGCCCGCGAACTAGGGCTCGTCGTGCCGCTGCTGGTGCTGTGCCGCCACATACGTAATGTTATTTAGTAGTAGTAGGGCCCTTTTGTGAAAAAGTTCGTCCAGGGAAGTGCTGCCACCTTTCCTATTTCTGGTACAAACAGTAATGTGAGCATTATTGTCCCCTACCCCCTGTTCAAAACCGGTTTGCTTGTGAAATTTCAGGCACATGAGACTTGTCAACTTACATATGTCTCAGGATGAAGGGCGCAATGGCAGTGCCCCTCCGATCTTTGCGTTTGAAAGTTCTGAGTGGCGCAACTGTTATGAACAGGCGTATCGCTTACCACCAGGAATGTTACTACAATTTCGTGTTTTTAACATGGTTACAATAATGTTTTGTATATGGTAAAATATTTGTATTAGCGATTAACGATACTCGCGTAAAGCAAAAATGTCGCTGTTTCGAATCCAGCTGGAATGAAGGATTTTGAGTTTGTTCGATCTTTGTATCAATGATAAGAACAAAGTAATAAATTAATTTGACAAGAAATATATAAATAAATATATCAAAAACATTTTGCACATAAATGTAAGGTTC